AGTCTCCTTCCCAATATAAGGTACACCAATCCTTAGTTGATATATATTTTTGACAATAAAGGAACACCATTCAATAAAAAAAGTCATCATGATCTTTTCAGGGTACACTATTCCTGACCTTTTATTGCTTTCAATAAAGAAATTTTTCTAGTACAAACTGGGGTAGAAATATTTCGTTCGTTTATTTGTTTTGGTGTCTGAGCAGGTTTTACCTCGAGGCATAGGGTTTGAGACGGCCAAAAGAAGAAGTCTCAATCCAGAATAAAAGAATAAGAAGAAGAAGAAGTGAACCCAAAATACAAAAGCGGATGAAAAGACGTGGACTGCTCCAGACATGACTGAAATCGCGAGAATCGCATCTCCCGTTTAGATCAGAAAAGTCGTGGACGAATGAACGAGCACCTACAACTAGCAAGCATCAAGGTTCAAATCAAAAGTGTGCAAGAAGAAACATTCAAGACTCAAGATCAAGGTTTAGAAGACTTATAGATAGGAATCTTGTAACTCATAGCTGGTAGGCATGTTTGGCTTCTTTTTCTTTTGATTTTGATGTAATAGCAGGACCACGGACCGGAGCCTCGGCGGAACCTCACTCGACTCTCCAACTCATCATTCCATCATTTTCCTTGAACTACACATGACCTGATTCCCCTATAACCCGAGATATGTAGGCTGTCTAAAATCAGGGCTCGATTACTCTCTTTTCTCTTATCTCTTCCCTTTTGAATAATGGTATGGCAAACAATTAGTCATATCGCTTATCTTTTCTTTGCCTGAAAACTCTTCATGGTTCCAAGCAAAGAGGGGCATGTTGTTAGCACCATTTGGTAAAGAATACGTGTTAAGGCATAAAGTAATTTTTACTGAATCTTCTAAGCCGAAAAAGGGAAAAAGTAGCCATCTTTTAGAGGCCATATCGACCCAATCTAAAGAGCCTAAGGGCCAATACACTTAGAGTTCGAGATTTCTTTCTCACTCAATTTGGACTTAAGGGTTCCACTATTCCGAGCTCAAATAAAATTGACTTGAATATAGTTTGAAGATTCATCATTATTTGATATAAAACCTTAAGGGGTCTATTACTGTGAGTTCGAAATTTACTCGAACTCGGCTATAAAAATAGTACAATTACGGCTTCGATCAAGCCATCCAAAATCAAAATCCTGAACATATTGCTGAGCTCGGGGACTCGCCTTCGCTTAATCAAAAAACCTAAGGGTTTTTTCTACTCTGAGTTCGAGTTGTTGCTCACTCGATTATAGAGGCTACAACGACCCGATTACAACAAAGTTCTCACAAGACAAAGGCAAAACAGATTTTATCATAAATCAGAAATCGGAGACGAAACGGAAAGAAAAGGAATCTTTCATATATGCAAAGTATTTACAAAGACCACACATGGTCTTACACAAAAAAAAAGGAGAATAAATCCTAAGTGCCTAGTCCGCCTCGGGAGCTGCATCTTCGGGAGCTTCATCTTCATCTCCTCCGCTCTCGGATCCACTCGCAGAGTCTTCATCATCGGAAAGCAAAGCTCCGGCCTCGTCCTCCAAAAATTTCGCACTCTCGATATCAGCCGTGAGGTCGAAGCCACGAGCATGTACCTCCTCAAGAGTCTCTCTTCGGGACTGGCGCCTAGCATGATCGGCAACACGAGACAATCTAACCTCAGCAGCATCATAAATTTCCTTTGCCCGAGTGTTAGCAGCTTCAACGTCAGCTCGGTAGGAGGGCACAAGCACCTCTGCCTAGGATGTGGCCCTTGCAAGCTCAGCGGCCAACTGAGTCTCGAGCTCTTTAACTTTCTGGGCTCGGGCCAAGTTCTCCACCTTCACACTTTGGAGTTGACGCTCAACTGAAGACAGTTGGGCCCGAACAACATCTTTCTCTGAGGCGAGACGGTCCATGCTCTGGTTTTACCCCAAAGTCTCTGCTTCTTTCATCTTGGCTTCCTCACGAAGCTGCTCAACCAATTCGGCATTCTGCTGAACCTGCAGAATCAAAGTGTTAGTCACCAATATCAAGTTAATACATAACAAGCTCCCAAAAATTGACATTACCTGCTCAATAAGCTCGGTCTGATCTTGATAAGCTCTTGTCAGCTCGGCTCGAATACTCACGATCTCCTCTTCTTTTCGCACATAGAGGAGTTTGAGGGCATTTCTCTACTCTGTAAGCTTTTTGAGATCAGCTTCACATCGGGCCAACTCAGCTCGGTACTTGGAAGATGCTTCTCGATGGAGAGCTGTAGCCTGTACAGAAAGAAAGGGAATCAGACTTAGAGAAATAAGAACAAACACAAGCATGGTAGCATGGGTTAAAACTCACTTGGTTCAGAAGCCGCTGAGTCTCATAAAAAATGAGTGATGCGTCAAGGTCAGAAATATCATCGACCCCCGCGAAGCAACCATGAAATATATCATCCCCTTCGGGGAGGGGCCGTCCCCACATCGGGGGTCTCCATGGATCGGGCATCCCGAAACTGCCCCTCAGAGAACGTGGGGTCGGGCGGTGAATCGTCAATATTAATTGCCTCGAGCGATTCACTTGGGGCATTCTCTTCTTTTTGAAGGGACTCAGAACTAGGCCTTTCGGGCACACCCATCGGTTGCTCATCACGGCAGGAGGCATCATCAACACCCGATGATTCGGGGATTCTGCTCGGACCTTTCCCCGGCTGAACCCCCTCGACCGTCACCGGCTCAACAACTTTTGAAGCTTCGATGCTTTCACTCTTCCGAGCCACCAGCAGGCAGTCAGTATCATCTCCCTCCTCGTCCTCATCTCATAGAGTTTGGACTATATCGGCAGACAGAACGACGAGATCAGTCTTCGGCTTTCGAGCCCTGCTTTTCTTGGGCCTTGGGGTATCTGGTGGCGAAGTCCTTTTCCTTTTTTTGTCTTTGGTCGGCTTTGGGACCTCCTCTTCCTCGAGGAGAGGCGGCCTCATAACGATACTATCTCCAAGACTTGTATGAGAAGAAATCAAGTTAAAAGGAAGTATTTCACAAGAAAGCATCAAACACGGATGAGGGAACTTACCATGATTTTTGGCCTCCCATCAACCCTTGGCCAAATCATGCCACGAGCGCTCAGCATACGAAGAATTTGAAACCAGTTGTCGAACCCAACTTGCAAGGTCTGGGACTGCACCAGGAAATCAGGGGGAAACTGCACCATAAAGAAGAATATAGATGAGAAGAGGTAAAGGAAACATAACAAGTAATCAGACGTTATCGGTGAAGTTTTACTTACATTTCATGTTCCATTCTTCGGGGAATGGCATCTTCTTGGCGGGGATTAAATCGGAGGTCCTGACTCGGACAAACCGACACATCCATCCTCGGTCCTTGTCCTCGTCTATGCTCGAGAATAGCACCTTCGTGGCTCGGCGCTGAAGCCTTATCAGTCCACCCCGATAAAGACGGGGGCTGTATAGCCTAATGAGATGATCAAGGGCGAAAGATATCCCCTCAATCTTGCTCGAGAAAAATCTGAGCAAAATGACAATGCGCCAAAAAAAGGGGTAGATCTGGCCTAGGGTTACCCGGTATTGGCGGCAGAAGTCGATTATGACCGGATCGACGGAGCCCAGTGTGAAAGGGTAAGTATACACACTTAAGAACCCTTTCACATGAGTGGTGATGTCCTCTTTAGGTGTAGGAATCACCACCTCTTTATTCTCCCAGCGGCAGTCCTTTTTCACCTGCTCGAGATCGCCTTCGGATATCGAACAAATGTATCTAGACATGGGCTCGCATTGGCCGGGAAACGAAGAGGGTTTTTCGACTTTAAAGTTCGAAGTAAGTTCATATGGCCCGTGGATGCACTCTTCGATACGTGGCTCCACCGATGTTTTGTCACCGGCCGGCCGCGATGATGAGGATTTTTCTCCTTGAGGAACGGTCTTTGATGTTTTTGCCATTGCTATATGAGGTTTAAGGAAGAAGACTGCGGAATTTGTGTTTTAATAAGAGATTGGTAAACAGAAACCAACAAAATTGATGAACTTGAAGAAGATAGAAGAGCTTTTGAAGATTTGAAGAAGTTTGAAACTAAAGTTTGAGAAGATTATAAAGGTGGTCTATTTATAATAGCCACTTTGACGGTTTGAAAGCACTAGTGGCCGACCATCAACTGGCGTTAATTAATGACTTTGGGAACTGTGTAGACGCGACGCTCCAGTCGCTTCTGTTGCTTACGTCACGATATTGACGTCATTAAATCGAAGTCTCAAATTCGTTTCTTCTCGTTACACTTCAAGAAACGAGGGGACTATCTGTATACGGTCAAAATCGGGCCTACCCGATTTTGCTGTTTGATCGAGACAAGGGAGTTGCATCGGAGGGGTAGCCTCGTAATAAATCGGACCAAGGCTCGAAGATGAGACATCAAGCCTAGAGATCGAAGTGTACGTTGAGACCGAGGCCAGCAACAATCGAGATCAAGTATGACCGACTTCGAGGGGAGCATAATAACGGAATGGTGAGATATCAGTAACAGGTCGAAGATCACAACGTGAATTTCGGAACGGATATCCGTGAACGGTCAAGGATCATAGCGTGAATCTCGGAACAGACCAAATCAGAAGCGGATAACTAGCTATTTATACGGTTTCCTTCTGTAATGAGAGACATACCATAATTAGGTCTCCTCTACTATATAAAGAGGAGGTCCAATCATTTGTAGAGAGGATTCACTGAAAAGAATATACATATACGCTGCTTTCTTTGCTTACTGTTCATCGCCGTTTATTCCATCCTCCATTGTTCTTATTAACTAACCTCAAGACTATCTCAAATCTAGGTCGAGGTATTGTTTGCCGATCGGTTTAATTTATTTTATTGTCCAACTTATCTACTTAATTTGTTGTTTATCAATTGGTGTTGGTTTAAATCATATATTTTTAAAACTACAATATAAGTTTAATTGTTACTCAATTTTTAAGGTAAACAAACCTAAAACTTGTATGTAATGTAGCAACTATAGTGAAATGACCGATGCTCTTGTCAGTTCATTGGCAGAGAACAGGGGAAGACATGAGCGGCCTCAATTTGCAGGATTTGTGCCACTTGCAGGAGAACATCTCTGAATCTCTAGCTGAGATACGTGAAAGAAAGGTTTTGATTTTGACCTTTACTCTTGTATTTTGGAGGCATTATTATATGCCATTTCCCTCTTAATTTTATGCAACTGCTACTACAATTTGTTAAATACTATCTTTATCAACAAAAGATTTGATCCATATATATCTGAAGCTAAATGGACTTACACGAGCAATTACCTTTTATCACAATTGTGAAATGGTGTAATGTTAGTCAAAAATCACTTTATTTTGAGTCTCGAGAACGGATAAATGCTCAACATTCTCAAGCAAAAATCACTCATGGAGAGTAGACTTGAATGAATAGTTTTAAAAAATTATTATGAATTCATTTTGGAAAAGGAAAGAAAGTAATATTACTCACAACTTAAAAAGTAATCCTCTGAACATGTCCTCCTGTGATTGAGTTGTGCTGCTTCTGCCAAATGCAAATCCCGTCAATTCACAGTGTAATTTAAAAATGAAAAAAATACACAAACCAGGCAAAGCATTTTGGTCCTAGTAAAAAAAAAAAAACAAGATGCTCATTTTGTCTCGGCGATGATATATTTTATTTTTCCTACGGGTGTAAATATTTACAAAGTGTAAAAATATGTATACAATCAAACCATTTAAGAATACATTATGGGGTTGAAATCCAAAAAGATGGTGAATAACATATTAGGAGTAAGTCAGATTACATTTAGTGTAATTATTTTTACATTGTCATCAAATAAATTAAAATTCTTTTCCACATGTATTATATACGTACTTAACTATAAGTGGCTCTGTGAATTACATACAGTACCACGTGATCAAGACTCAAACAGATACCTTCAGGAAGAAGGTTAGTCTTCCTTTTAGTTAGCTTTGATATGAATTTCTTTCCTTTCATTTCGCTTGGGAGTTGGGATATATTACAAAGTGCTACGGATTCTTTATGTGACTAAAATAGGTGAAGAACTTAGAAGAGCAACATGGAAACCTCGTGCTTGATTTGGTAAGTATATTTTAAATATATATGTTTGATTTTTTGCCATTGGTTTATGGGATTGTTAATTAACACGAAAAAGTTAATTGGTTCATCAAATTAAGGAAGCAAAAAGTGAAGATCCAAAGTATGGTGTAGTGGAAAGTGAGGGACAGTACAACTCTGCTATGGCATTTGCCAATGGAGTACACAACCTCTATGCTTTTCGCCTACAATCGTTGCACCCCAATCTTCAAAATGGAGGAGAAATTGGTTCTCGTAATCTACACCTTGCTTGAAAACAGCAATTTGGCAATGGGGTTAAACCCTTTAATGTTGGATGACTTATTCCAACTAACTTCCCAAGTTATATGTTATTACTCAAAAAAGTTGACTGTTGCAAGTTGCAAAAACTACTTTATCTAATTAGGTTTTGCGCTGAGTCTGGATTTGATTACTTCCTAATTGTCTATAGCACTTTATTATTATAGCTAGGAGTTTTGACTCCATTATGAGTGATGCCTAATTAAGAAGATGAATTATGATGTCTTGAATGTATGTTCAATTCTGTGATGTTGATTTTTTTACTTGATTTTAGAAAATCTAAGCACATAGTTTACTCTTTTTAGAATCTTATGCAACACCTTTGTAAGTCTAATTCTTAATATTTTGTTCACTAGTATTAGGGTACGCGCTTTGCGCGTATATATATATATATATATATATATATATAATTAAAAGAATTAGATAAATATTATTAAATAATATAATTGAGTTATAAAATAAAAATTAAAAAGTGTAAATTCTTGAAACTAATTACTAATATTTATCATGTTTAGCTGGATCAACAAATAAATATTATAGTCATTCACAAAAGGACTCTAACTTTGATTTGTATTTGACCTTGTCACTTATCTCTCAATTATATTTTAAAGAATAGATGATATTCAAATTCCTGGCCTTTGTCCAATATTATCTTTTTATACCATCTTTTTTTCTTACTATTAAATTTTCCCTAAACTTTTCCGCACGTATCAAAGTTTCACAAAATATTTGTTTTTTCATTTAAATTATGCAGATTCACTTTTGTATTTTTTTGGTTAAATAATATTACAACAAAATTAAAAATGTAAGCATTAATAATAGTAATATTTAAAAAAGGTATAAGCATGATATATATTGGCAAAGGAAAAGACATATAATTTGAGAACTCAAATATCTTTGAATATCAAAGAAGTGTCAACTATATAATTATTGGGTTAAGTAACATTTAGTTCTTACTTATTTTTTGTGGACTTCGCCGTTTTTGGTTTCCTTATTTTTTGCAAAGTTATTATCTTTCATAATACAAATAATGAAAAATTATATACGAGGTATTAGAATATTACAACTAAGAAAGAATTTATGCACAACATTTAATTGATTTAAAATCCTAAATACATATTAGGGAAAACTCTTATGTTTTATTCAAGAATGCACAAATAATATAATAATCAATTTGCAACTAAGAAAAGTTTTTGTTTATTTAAATAAAAATATAAAGAAGCAACAAGGAAGACTTAAAGTCCTAAAATTTGCAATAGAACAAATAACCATAATCGTGAGTTATGCAAGTAGCCAATCGTGAAGTTTTAAAAAAAAACAATCGTGAAGTACATAATCAATTTGCGAAAGAATTTCATAAATAAAATTGTAGAAGTTGCTTTAAATTCCTAACATTATGAAAAATTAATATATAAGGAATTAAAGTTATCTTACATCGTTAAACAAGGAAACGATTTATGCATAAAGTCCTAAATATCATATTTTCTACGTAGCTCAAATAAGAAAATAATTAAATAACTATTCATAAGTATTACTAAAAAAATAATTAAATAACTATTCCTAAATATTAGAAAAATACTTAAATTATGATTTTGTCTAATGTAAAATTTATTTCTAAAAAATAAAAAAGGTAAACGACATTTCGCCAAACATATTTATTAAGTGCTGTAAAACTTAATTTAAGACTTATATCATTGTTAATTATAGGGGTGTACAAAGAAAACCGATAAAACAGCACCAAATCGATAATCCGACTCAAACCGAAAAAAAAACTGATTATGGTTTGGTTTAATTTGGTTTGGTATTGAAACAAAAATTCGATCATAATTAGTTTGGTTTTGGTTTTAACTAAAAAAAGTCAAACCGAAACCAAACCAACCATATAGTATATTTGTACAATTTTTAAAAATAGTTTATACATATAAATATTTATTGTAATGTAATTTATAAATACTTTATAAACTTTTTCACAATTTTATCTTTTAACGTATTATTTCAAGTTTGGACTTAACATTCTTGAATGGTAAATAAATTTTATAGCCCATAAATGTAGTAACTCAAACAAAGTTCAAATCAATACTAATGCTATCAAAAATAATTCAATTCAACACTAGGAATAATGATAGTGTGGGATATCTATTTTTTAGTTTTATATTGGTTTATAATAAAAAAGCATAACTTAGTTTATCTTTTTCTTTAGTGCTTAGTTATGTAATTAATAGTACTTATTAGCTATATTTATTTTGGCATGACCTATATAGTATTTTTAGGTTATGTTAATTTTTATTATGGCTTATCAATTAGTAATATTTGCTTTATACAATTTTATATATCATCTTTGTTATTGAATATTTTAGTATAATGTTATGACTTATCCATATTATTGTGTTATTTTCTTGAAAAATATATTATATAATTGTATTTTACTAGGACTAAAGAAATATTTGGAGTACAAGTTACATATTTTGTGCTTGAAGATTTTACCAGAAAAAACTCAATAACTCGAAAAAACTGAAAAACCCGACTTTGTTGTTTTGGTTTGGTTTTTAAATTTTAAAACCCGACACCATTAGTTTGGTTTGGTAATTAAAAAATTCGAACCAACCCGACCTATGTACACTCCCAATGAATTATATAAATCGTTGAATTTAGCTTGTTATTCCAATTAACTGTTGGGAATAAGCTCTTTGCTGATAGAAATGGCGGCACTCTTTTGGGTGTGTTTGGTATGATTTCCTTGAAAAATAACTGATTTTCTCAGAAAAAAACTATTTTTCTTACTTATTTTTCGGTGTTTGATTAGGTAGCAGAAAATATTTTTGAAAAATATATATAATTTAGACAAACACTATATGAGATAAAATGGGTAAGGGCGGGGAAGGTGATAGGTTGGGATCTAGGGGCTAGAGTGGCGGTGACTATGTTAGGAGGAGGGGGGAGGGGTAGGGTAGGGTAGGGTAGGGATTGGGAATAGTTTGGGGAAGCTTGAGAAAGAGTTTTGGAAACTGTTTTCCCTCTTTCTGGTAAGTGAGTCATTTTCTTACAATTGGAGTAAGATGAATTCATGAGAAAAATATTTTCCATAATGTTTAAACCAACCAAACATGAGAAAATTAGAAAATATTTTTGAAAAAAATGTTTTCCTTTTACCAAACACACCCTTTGTGTAGCTTGCTTGTGACTTGTAAATTTTCTCTTTGGGTTATGGCTAAACATTGATTGAGTGTAATCCACATTTTACTTAAAAGGAAAAATTTAAAGACGGCTTTTGCAGTGATAAAAGGTTTAATCACAAGGCAGCTTTCGTTTGAGCTGGCATAGTAAAACAAATCCCGAATATGCTTTTGCTTAAATCTGTTGGATACTTGGATGCTACTAGGAAGACGACAAATAATCAGGAAATTGCGTTCTTTTGGTTTTGCTTTGGCGGAATTAGTTTCAGAACACAATTGTGTTTAAAAATATGAGTTGTAGTTTCCATTTAATAGTTAAAAGATAAATTTGCACTTTTCTTTTTGAAGAATTTGAATACGTGAACTCCACCCATTTTATGCTGAGGCGCTCGTAGACATCGAAATTTTAACGGATTAAGTTAAATCCTAAATTAAAGATACTATAGGACTCTTGAAATCTTAGGAGTCTATTAAGGTTGCTTGGAGGTTACTCTACCCTAAACCTAACTTACACCTATATAATGGGATACATACTCCCTTGAAGAGGCATCTCAAAACACCCATAAACTCTTGGGATATTCACAAAGAGATCAAAATATGGCCGAATACTTCTTGACAATCAAATAGTTCAAGAAGCTGGAGATCAAATACATCCTAGGAGGTCTGCCCATCCCACATTCGAGAAATATGCTGCTTCAACCCTCGAATCACGGAGATAATTAGGAGAGAAGAATCAAGGGAGAAACAGAATTGTACTCACAATTGATTAGTAAAAATATTTTTCTCTTATCTTATGATTGCAGTTGTCACGACCCAATTTCACCTATAGGTCGTGATGACGCCAAACCTCACAGCTAGGCCAGCCAACTAGTGAATTAAACATATATTTATTCCTTTAATAATTATCCGAGTAATTAAACTCTTCTTACTTGCAAGATTTAAGAAAATATAAAAGGTTCTGATTAAATAAAAACCAAGAAAAATAATTCAAACCCCAATTCTACCAGTGTGTGTGCCAAGACCTAGTGTTACAAGTATATGAGCATCTAGTAGATTATACAAAAGTTCTAAATACTGTCTGAAATAAAATAGACAGAATACAAATACAAGGAGAGACACTAGTTGCTGCACTACGGCTCAGAAAGACAGCTCACCACTAGGCCTCGGGGTAACGTGGATGCGCACCGGTATGACCACCTAAAGCTCCTATCTCAGATCCTGCACAAAAAGTGTAGCAAGCGTAGCATGAGTACATAAACAACTTATACCCAGTAAGTATCAAATCTAATCTCGAAAAAATAGTGACGAGGGGTCGACTTTGACACTCACTGTGGGTCAATAATATTAAAATAGAAATATTTAAATAGACATGGTTTATGTGAATAGTAATAATATTCTTAACAAGCGAAAATAAATAATTCTTTCAAGTTCAATAAATTTTCAATTAATCATTTATCTTCGCAAGCTGCAATAGGATGTCAAGATATCGTGTAATTATTATTATTTAAGCACGATTTCTGCCGAGGTCGTATGGCCCGATCCAGAGTGTCGTATACACTGTCGAGGGACGTGCGACACGATCCATAGATGCATCTATACTGCCGAGGCATTCGGCCCGCTCCACAAGAAAGGAGTACATTTCCTTTTGAACCTCCGAAATGAGAAGTTATTATAAGATTAACACATAAGGATGTACAATTTCTATTAACAATCAAGTAATTTGCACAAAAATTCAAGTATGTGAAATTTCAGTCTTTTACTATTTTTTCTAACAATTTCCAATATAATTTCTGTCCTTTAATTAAATAAAGGATGCA